AAGTTATAATACCCTTGTGCACAAGTGCGCTCGGGTATAAAAAAAGCAGTAGCAAAGAGAAGGTCCACATAAAGAAAAGAGAAAAGACAACAACAAATAAAAGTTCCACATATTAGGAAAAAGCAAAAACAAATAAAATAATTATTTTTACTGTGTGCATTACAATTTGGATATCAGCCTACGCTTTTGATATGAGGTTAAGGAAGCTTCATGGAAAACGTTTTGAAGAGGGTTGCCATATGTTTCAAAATTTTTAATCGTTTAACTGATAAGATAAACAATATATTATTGCAATATGGGTATAAAAATTAAGCGGCTTAAAAAAGCTAAATTTCCAAAAATTTTTGGAGTGTTGCCATCTGTTTAAAAAATTTAATTCAACTAAAATGATAAGGTGAGTTAATTCTTACAATAGGGATGTCAAAATAAAGTGGTTTAAGAAAGCTTGATTCAGAAACTATTTCTAAACAGGATTGGCACTTGTTTTAAACATTTAATTAAATTAAATTTGTAAGATATATTATATATTACAGTTTTGTATCACACGAAAGGTACTTAAGGAACGTTTAATAATTCTTTCTTAATTTTTTAATTTTCATTGGAATGCCAGGAAAGGCATGCCATGGGTCTACAATACAGAGTGAACCCGCTGACATAGTAGGTCGGCGAAGTTAATCAAATGATCGGCGAGCTACCTCACATGAACCCACACTGATGACCGGCGGCGACCGAAAATGATAATAGGCGTATTTGTATGTCCGAGTTGCATTCAAGGGAGACTGAAAAATAACGGAAAATGGATAGATGTACAATGCAAAAAAAATCTTATAAGTTCTCCGCTGATTTTCATATTTCCATTTTATTAGATTGAGCAACAGTAAGGCGTGGCTAGGTACCTCTGGTGGTTTATACAATTTCTGCTAACTTATGGGCTTTATTTATTGAGAAAGATAAAATGTGGGATATTGTCAGAGATAACAAAAAAATGCTTACAGAAAACAGTTCCTCTCTGAAAGGTATCGCTGCCAAAGCTTTATGCAAAGTTTGGAGGCATATAAGGTCGCCCCGTACGTCGATAACATACAGGAATTTATATCACGGAGGCTATCCCACAATTTATTTGCAGGTCCATCTGCTTAACGAAGCAACGACACTGTCTTAAATTGTCTGTTACATAAGTACTTGACATATGCAGCCTCTTTTCCAAGCGAAATATTTATCCAGTTTCTGATGGTAGATTTGGCCGCCAAAGTTCTATAGCTGTGTGCGTTCGATTTTTCATTATCAGGTAGTCCCAAGTAATCAGGGATTAAACTAGTTCATTTTGGATTTCCAACACGAAATTTAGCAGAGTTTTCGGCTGACACTACAGGTACCTCTCCAGTTAGTTTCTATACTAGCTCTGGCTTCAGAATTGTTACATCACGGAACAGGAATGTTGCGAAAGAATGAACGCGTCGATCAAGCCTTTTCCAATTCAGCACTAAGAGCAGCATTTCTACCCTCAGAAATTTTCTTTTAACTGAGAGTTTTCCTTAATGTTAGTCTTATCTTCGAAAATTAATCTTACGTGGAAAGACTAGAGTATCATAGCCTGATGAGGCAGCTCTTTCAGCTTTCCTGAGCAAGAGTTTGAAGAAGATTTACAGGCCTTTACGCGTTGGCGACGGCGAGTTGCGCAGACAATGGAACCATCAGCTTTAAAACGATATGGATATAGTGCAGCGAATATAAATAGAGTGGCTCAGCTGGGTTGGCAATGTCGTTCGACATCGGCGCTCCAACTCTGAAAGTATTCAACTTCAAAAACACGCTGGTGGGAGCAGAGGAATGACCAAGTGGAGAAGGACTTGGCTAAAGTTTCCGACTTTTGATAAAAACAAAACAAACCAAACTTATTGATTGTTTAAGCATTAAAAATAAAAGGAAACCGTCATTTTGCAAACTTAAAAACTAAAAAAAAAAAATTCCTTTTTAATGCTCAAAATATAATAGAAATAACAAAATGACAGTTTTTTCAAAGAACCCTGCAAACCAAAGTTCCCGAAATCTTAAGGAGTATCTAATTTATGTAACATTTTTTTTACGAATCTATAAAGAAGTTTATATGAAGTGATTGACATGAACTCGTAAAGAAATTTTTGTACGAAAAATAATGAAAGTTCTGAAAAAATTCTGCAAGAAACTTTTCACAAAGCAGACTATTTTCATTCCATTACAGATTTTCTTCAATTATTCAATTTATTTCATTCTAGAAAATTCGGCAAAAAATCGAATAAGATCTTTAAGAATTCTTTAAAATTTCTCTACAATTCAGAATACTCTGAAAAAATGGTTCGCAGGGCAGCCATATAGTACGAAAGCCACTTACTATGCTTTTAAATTTTTTCAGTGTTTTGATATGACTCTTACATATACTTTATGTTCTTTATTTCATATCGCAACTCCTTAATGTAAGCGCAAACTTCTTCGTACCATAGTACCTATCATCGCCCTTTCTTATCTATGCCATTATCACTTGACACGCGCGGAACGAAATGACCTGTTAATAGAAGAATTTCTCCAATTTTCCACAAAATCTTTTCGAACTTACCACATGCCGCTGGAAAATAAAATAATGCAGCGCGGCAGGGCACATCAGCGCGCGTCGCTTGCTAAGAGATAAGGGAGATAAGTGACGCGTAAGCAGTTTACCACGACTTAGTTGTTTGCTATGTTTCTTTTTTCACCTTTGCCTACGTTGAACATTTAACACTTTTCACCCTCATCAACGCCATCGCCAACATCAAGGCTACTACGTAGCATTGGCTAGAGCTAAAATAGTGAGCAGCATAGTTGCTGGTAAGAAGAAAGTACATAGGTACGTATGTATATATGTAGCTGCTTTTGCGTAAAACAGTGACCCCTTTTTGTCTACCCATACGCCAACTACTGGCAAGGCTACGACGCTAGATGGGTTCATCATGCTTGCTAGTACATGAATTTTTACATTCGTTGCACTTGCAAGCGCTTATAACAAACGTTGCGTTAAATGTAAATCGGAAGGAACCAAAAAGCGATAGACATAAGGAAAAATAAAGCGAAGGGCATATATTTTATGGATAGGCGTATGACTAAATATGTACTATACTCACACAAAAAAGTGAATATTAGCAAGACATATTATTGCCAAATTACGAAACACAAAATCTTTAATTGGCCCTACTTCAATATATGAAATTTTGAGTTATGCCGTTATTGCAGAGGACCAGCACAACACACAGGCAACTAGCAGGATTGGCATCACGAAGTAAGAAGAAGTTCTGGGGAAGAGCCACAAATTGGGGCCACAAATTAGGTATCAAGGCTTCGAAAAAATACTGAATAGATCCGATGAGGCTCTGAGTAGTATTTGTAAAGTAGACTGCTCTTGGACGTTTTGTTTCTACTAATCTCTTGAGATATACTTTTCATGTAGCACTAATCAAACTGCCAGAGAGAATATGCTTTAAATATTGTGGATAGGTTGAAGGTAGCTTTGGCTATCAATTCCTTCGATCCATTCAAAATGCAGCGTAAACGGATGGCGCACAGTGCGACCGAAACCCTAAAGTGCGGCTAAAATTCGAAGCTTTAAAGAAATCATTTAAAATTTCATATTTACTAGGGAGTTTTCGGGGTCGCTAATTGCGAATCCATTGACAGAATTGCAAAATTCAAAATGGCGGATCCAGTATGGCGCCTGATAAATTTCGAACTATTTAAATAGATTTCTAAGTAAGATTCTGAGCATGCAGTTTTATAGGCCGCTCAATTTTAGCGTCACAAAGTGTAAGTTTGAAGTCGCTAGGACTTACTTTTGATTTTTGAAATTTTTTTTGCTGAAAGTGCCAGTCATTTTCTTCCATATGAAGTATATTCGTTGATATGAAGTAACATCTTCAGCAAAAAATAATAATCCAAAAATTAATCGTAAGTCTCAGCTACTTTAAACTTGCTCTTTATTATACTTAAATTAAATGGGCTACAAAACTGCTAAATCAACAAACTCAACTCAAATCTAAATTAAAAAGTCCGAGATTTTTGCATACAAGTAAAATGAAATCCTCTTTACTCTTGTTAGTTTAATTTTTTTAATGACTTCATGCCAACATAAGCATTTTCGCTGTATGAAAACTATGTAAAATGAAGCCGGTTTATCGGTTTTTTTTCTTAATTTCAAACTGGGGAACCGGTTTTTTCAAATTCCAATCCGCGGTTCAGCAGATTGTTGCGGTTGGTTTTAGTGGCTCCCAAGTTACACTCAGATACCAATTAGCGCATATTTAGTAGCATCATTTTTTCGCCTATTTACTTTTCCTTTTCTTTGTTAAAAGAGTCCCGGTTAGTACAATGTGCGTCTTCTTGGCATTCGCTCATAGCGAGAACTATATATTGGACAAATATATCTCTGCATGCAAATCAATCAATCCTTCCGCAAACGCCCTCCTAACATAATCTAACTCTACCTAACTCCACATCTGCCGTATTGTGCGCATTTTTGTAATACAAACAAAATAGTGTTTAAATATCTTTGCTGGTATTAGCAAAGCCTGAATGCAGTTTACTGCATGGCCTTTTTCTGCTTCGTAGCTGTACTGTATTGTGTAAGTTGTGGCACAAAAAACCTAATCAGACGTGAGCTTTTTCTGTTGGTAATAATATTACATTTAAAATATTTAACATGAATCTCTTATCTCTAAAAATCCGCATCATTCCCACTTCATTAGCATTCAACTTATAGGCTCGTACCGACCGGCTTGAGCCAAATCCAAGTATTTCTAAAAATGTAATTGATTAAAAAACAACGAAAGAGGAAGCTTAATTAACACACACAAACACAAACTCAAATTTTATCACAAAGGATTGCAAAAGGTAGTTTAAAACAAACTTTGCAATAAAAAAAACTTGTTTAATAGTTTTCTGCTTTGACTTACCAACAACTTGCATAATACCCGTGGCGGTGGCAGTTGAGAAAAGTGGCGCGTCGGCTGTCACTTCGCAAGAAAAGTTGCCGGACAAACCGAAACCCACATTGCGGATGAGCACTTGCGTTGCATTCGAATTGGTCACCTGTGGAGACAAATGAAATATTGTGAAAATTTTTGGTATAATTACCCGAAAAGAAGTGCTACGCAGGCAGAATATAACTGTAAAAGTAGCTTAAATAAATTAGTAAAAAATAAATTAAAATTTAAAGCAAAAATTTTTAACATAATGCCAGCTACTAAAAAACTTACGAATACGCAATCACACAAAACCTAACAAAAAAAAAAATACTATAAACGCAATGGTATTTTAAATAAATGCATTATTTGAAGGTCGCTAGCGCTTCACACAAAGGGGGCAAATGCAAATTTCTACCTAATAAACTTTCCGTCTGCTGAGCAATAAAACGCTTGACTATTCGAAAATGGTGGCGCAATTTGCTGCTATGCTGCTGACTAATTACAAATCAAATTTATATGCAAAAGAAATACTTAGAATCGTGAAAGCGCTCAGAAAGCAGAACTGAAAAGTAAAGTTCAATGTTGGTCTAACCGAAGGTGCAGATGTTGGTGAAATTTTTTTGATATTTTTGATTTTTTTTTTTTTGGAATTGGCAACTGTAAATTACTCTGGGCACAATTCTACCAGCATTACTCACAAAAAGCACTTAAGTTTATTAAATCATTCAAACCGCAGCGCCATAAAAAGTAAATTGTTGGTAAAATTTGCAGTAGTAGCTGAGGACTGTGTGTGAACTTTCTGTTTACCACCGCTTGCCTTCACTAAGGGGTTATATTTGCCAACTGTTTTTGTTGCAACTGCTTTAAGTGTTTTTGAGAGATCTAGTTGGCAACCGTAAATTTCATCCTCGAAATAGACAGCATCGTAATTTTCCAGTAGAGAATAGCATTCAGGGTCATTTTACACAAAAGCGAAGTTGTTGAGGCGAAATTACAAAATTGTTCAATAGTACGAAGAAAACTGCAAGCAGTTGTAAACATTTCTGAGAAGCTATTACGGATCATAGTATATGTAAGTAGCTATGAAGTAACACTTGGGCTTAATTCTTCTTGAGCATTTTTACCGGATTAGAAATTAAATGAGTGCATTTTCTTTAGCTTATTAATACGAATTTGGCAGTTTCAAGCAAAATAACTTTTTCCTGCTTAAAATTATCAAGAGCATAAATAAGTGGTGCTATAATCTGTTTATACAAAATAAAGAAGAGGAAAGAAGCGGCTTCTGGGTGTCATGAGTTACTTTGTCCACATGTTGGCGATAACTAACGGTGCTACAACAGTAATCATGTGTCTCCATAATAGTAAATTGGTGCAGTGGTGGAACAGCGCTCGATTTAGTTATTAAACGTGAGCCGCTTTACCTAAAGAAGCAGGCTACCAAAAGAACGCTACTAAATTTTGCTAAAGATTTATTAAAAAAAAAAGGAAGTTCATACCCTCCAGTGATATAGAATACTTTCGAGATGTAACAAAAGGGAAAGCATACTTTTTATTTTTTAAAGTTTAGCATAGACGTTTTCGTTTTCTTTGCATTGATAAAGAGCCTGCTCGAAAATTGCAGGAATCTTTGGACCCAGAACCAAGATGGGAAATATGCGATCTTAATTCTGCCATAAATATAGGTCGTTCTCCTTCTCTTTTATCAAGTAAAATAAAATCGCCCTTGGTCCTTGAGTACAATTAAAAACTAAACTTTCTTAGTTGATACAACGAAATCCAGCTAGCCTGTTTACCAGGCCACAAGTGAATAGAGAGAAATGTAAGTGTTCGTAAATATAAACTTGGAATACTAACAGAATATTAATAGTTATTCATACACGGCTCTGCATAGTGCGGGGTAACCGGCATAAGCTGGCTTTTATGACTCGGTCAATGAGGCATCATCGCAGAATACTTGGGAGGCTTTATATGGGCACAGTCTGAGTACACTCACTCCATACCTCAGAAATTTTTTGTTTACTTTATGAGAGACTAGGTTTTACAAGAATTATTTTGAAAAAATTGAGGGTACAACCGACCTCTGAACTGCGATGCATACCTCGCATTAATACCTATCAACTTATATATGTATCTATAAATATGTTATCACAATTAGGCGGTGCTATGACTATACTTATACAAAAAAATAATGGGCCGTGTGCATAAAAACTAAGCAATTGCTTTATCTTAAAGGCTCATGCCTTTCACCGAAATTTATTTGAACAAATTGAGTAAAAGGTCTGAAATGTTAAGAAAAAGCATTTGCTTAAATTGTATGCATGCGGCCCAATGGGATGAGGGCGTCAACTCTAAACTCTCTACTACATATTATACAGGCTTAGATAGATAGATAGATATTGTAATGAGGTATGCACTGCGACCTGGCGATCTATTGTGCCCTAAACACTTCTTCTTAGCCAAGATATCTCGGAATGTTCAATAGCACCTTCGGCGGTTGGGAGTGGATATGCTTAAGCCTAGACTGCTCTCACGTCGTCTGCAGACTGCAGCATACTGGGCTAGTCGAGTCGCAGAACTTGCAAAGTTCATTGAACCATTTCCCCCGCTTGTGTATGTGACCCTTTAGTCTCTAGCAAAACAGGCCACCGCCTCGTAACTTGATGTTATTTTTTCTGCCAAGGGATTTCAGCTTCTCAATGCACTGAAGGACTAACAATGATTTTACTTCATAGGATAGAAGAGCGTCTGTACCCTCTAATCATTATAGTCTCCGCATATAGATGACGAGGACTGTTGCTTGGAAGATGTTGGAAAATTTCCCCTTAGGAGAAGCTCCAGGTTGATTTGCTGCAAAACTCTATTTTAAATCTCTTCTCAAATACTATGGTTCTGCCTATATCTTCTCTGGGGAACAGAGCTACTGGGAGCGATAACTCTAGCTTCCCCATACTTTTAGAGGTTATGACTTTACCTTTTCCAGACCCCTGTCTATCAAAGTTAATCACAGTTTTTTTGGCCACCTACTCTACGCAATGTAAAGCCATTCTATGATCTTGGGGATGCATCTCCAGGATTTTCCTGCCAAAGTCTTGCATACCATTAAAGTTTTCGTGGGCTATTTTCCTAGTAATTGGAATGATTGCGGTTTTGGCCTAACTTGGCACACCATCACTTTCTTTATCTTTAACATCTTTAAATAATAACGCTGGGAGTGCTCACAAACTTTCAGTCTGAACTTTTAAGTTCTGCATGACTTTGCTAGCGGGTGATTCCTTTTACCCACCTTCGGGTAAAAGATTACTCTCACGCTCTCCGCTACACCTGTGGAACGTAAACTTCCGCAATACTGCTTTTCATTATATCCGCTAGGTTTGGTATTAGATTCTCTCCACCATTCTGCAGCATGACTGGCCGGATGCCATCTACCCCTGGGGCCTTATAGCGTTCAAACGAGCCCAACGCCCATCTGTTTGAATTCTATGTTTGAATCTACTTCTTGTCAGTTTCCAGTCACATGGTCGCGGTGTAGTTCGGCGGACCTGCGGCTGCAGTGCCAAGCTAGTGGCCTCCGGGAAGTATGTTGTAAGCAAAGTTGTTGCTTTCTCATATTTACTTCTGGTTTGGATGCCATCAGAACGTTTTATGCTTCTTCCGATTCCACTGTTCCTCTGGCTAGAGTCTTGTGTTGCCTCGTAGCTGCTGGACTATTCGATATACCTTCACAGAATTTTCTGAAACTTCCCCCCTTCGCTTTCCTCATATCTTTGCTGTAGTTCATTAGGTTAGCTCCGTATTCCTCCCAGCATCCCATGTGCTTGAGCCTGTTGAAAAGATTATATACTGGCTTACTCAGGTAGCGCCACGTAGCGGATGATTTTTTCATAGAAGTTTTCCTCTTCGCACCATCAGTATACATTTCTAATGTCAGAAAAATCGGAGCATATATACAGATTCGGACCATTAATACAGATCGACTCCAGCGTATCCATTTTGCGCAAAAAAATCCTATTAAACCTGCAGAAAACTTTTTTAGTTTCATCAAATTCGCATGGTGAATATGAATATTTCGACTCTAGCGAATTACTATTTCTTATAGGTGTTCACGTCGCACTCCCAGCATACGCTTCTATTTTTATAAAAATCGGTTAGTAAAAACAGATTTGCCGAATATTTCGACCCATGCGCCACCTATCGGACCAAAATATTAACTATGACCGTGCCGCATGTCAGAGGAATATACTGTTAAAATTTCGTTAAAAATCGTTTTTAGTTGTAAGCCAAATTTTTACAAAGAAAACAGCTACATCTTCATATATATAAAATGTATATAATACAGAGATTGGGTTTAATACTCTTCCTTTAGAATGTACTTTTTTCATAAAATGCCCCATTTTGCCGCTTATATGTACGTTCATATATGCAGTTGTATTATGCACACAAACCAAAATATAAATGTATTCAAAAAATTGCCTTCACCAAGCTGTTTATCACCGGCAGCATACCTAATAACAAAACCCCAGTCGACTAACTTGTTAGTGAACCAGCTAAAGTAGCGTTGGATGAAAACGAGAAGAGGCGGCACGGGAAAGAGCTAACCGCATAACTTGAATGTGGTAAAATTGGAATCGGTAAAATGGTGGACAGATGCAAATGCAGTTGCCATTGTCAACCGTTGCTGGTGTATCTCTGCGGTGGTGCAGGAGTGTCACAACCCTTGTCTTACACTTCTACATAGTTTTCTAGCGAAAGAGGGAACTGTGACAAGCAGCGGTAGAGTTACGCGAAACGCTTAACTAGGTAACGGAATGTGCAAACTTTTTCAATAATCTACCTGCGGAAAGTTACTCCAAAGCAGTGGTACACTACAGAGAGCAAACGTTTTAGGCATGCCTGCCCATTTTTTTGACGCGCTGTGGGTTTAAGTTCCTTTGCTGCCGTACGGCTGACTTGCACCTCACGCGGTTGAACGATGAACCGAAAATATTTTATACAGGTAATACCAACTTCGCCCGTGGGCGAAGCAAATATGCGGCGGCATGCATTTGTAGGCATGCACATTAGGGTGGTCCTTAAATGTAAGAAGCAAATTTTTACATCAGATTTCCTAAGCCTCTACCCCTACGT